ATGTAATGACAATGTTCATCATAGAGAATTTGAACAAGGTGATCAGTCTTGCTTTTTCCCTCTTCTCCTTACCTGCCTTTAAGCCCTCTTCTGTTTATTTATAAAAGTGTTGTTTTCATTTTTCTTCTGTTGTCTTTTTTTCTTGTCTTTTCCACCTCCCTCTCCCTGTTCTACTTCTCATTTGAACGTTTTCTTCCCATTTCCTATTAGCTGTTATACATTTTGCTCCTTATTTACACTTTCAGTTTCTCACACCAGAGACGCAAGGTCGTATTTGCACGTGTGTGTGAGATTGATTCCACTTACGAGTGTGATCTTAAAGTTTGCCCACTTAGCTAGCAATGTCTCAAGCATATCCTTCTTTATGGCAGAGTAGTATGCCATTGTATAAAAAAAAATCTTGCTCCATTCACTGGTTTATGGACATTTGGGTTGTTTCCAAGATTTAGCTATAACAAACTGTTCTGTGGGTTCGGGCAGCATGATAGTACGTGCCTGTAATCCCAGCACTGGGGCGGCTGAAAGAAGGAAGATCACTAGGAGTCTGAGCTGTGTAGTGATTGCTTCCCTGGCCAAGTGCAAAGGGCCTGAGTTCAATCCCCAGTGCAGCCAAAAACTGAAAAAAAAAAAAATTAAAAAAAAGGGGAGATGGCTCAGTAGAATGAGTGCTTCCCTGAGCTGTGTAGTGAGACCCTGTACCAAATACATAATAAATAAATAAATTGTGCTGCTATAAAAGTGGGTATGCATATATTACTGTGGGATGACGCTTTCAGTTCTTCTGGGAAGATATCCAGACAAGGAATAGCTGTGCCAGAGGGGCCCTCTTGTCCTAGATTTTTAAGGCATCTCCACACTGATTTTCACAGTGGTTGCACCAGTCTACACTCCCACCAACAGTGGAGAAGGGTTCCTTTTCCCCACATCCTCTCCAGAGTGTGTTATTGGTTGATTCTTTGATGACAACCATTCTTTCTAGCGTAGCATGGAGTCTTGGCGTTGTTTTAATTTGCACCTCTCGAATGGCCAGTGATGTTGCACTTTTATTCATGCATTTATTCACTGTGTCTACTTCTTAATCTGAGAAGTGTCTGTTCATTTCAGGTGCCCGCCTTTTGACTGAATCTTTAAATTTGTTTGTTTGTTTGTTTGTTTTTTTTTTTTTTTTTTACCTGAAACACTTTTTTATTCAGAATTAATGCATGACTTTTCCAAAGAGAAGAAAGCAAAAGCTGTTTGGTCATTAACAGTAGACACTATATTTTCTTGCACCTCTATCTAGAATTGACTATCTATATAGATGAATACCTGAGTGCCTTCTATAGTGACTGATACATTGCATCAACTTGAGAAGTTAAAAGCTTAACTAAATCAGCCCAGCAATTCCTAAAGGATATAAAAGAAAACTGAAAAAAATGCAGTGCTCCTTTTCCTCAAAAGAGCTCTGGTCTTTGCAGCCAGCTTAGCTGTTGTCTCCTGGCTTCTAGCTCAGACTCTTCAGCCTACACCTTAGATCCTTCAGCCTTCTGGTGAAGATTCATCAGCCCTCTGTCACAGCCCCGTCGACCTCCTGATACGGACTTCCACAAAACACTGCAGCGAGCTCCAGACCTTGGACAAAATCCTTCCATTGAATCTTTAAATTTGGAGGCGGTGATTATTAGCTTTTTCTTTATGTTCTCAACATTACTCCTTTGAAGAACAACTGGAATTTTTTTTTCCTCACTGTGGTTGTGTCTTTACTGTTGATGGTTTCTTTTGCTGTGCAAAACCATGTCAACACGATGAGATTCCAGGTGTTGGTTCTTTGGGGGTATTTCCCATGCAGTCTGGGTTTTATTCATCAGGTCTCTGCCTACACCAAAGTCTTCAAGAGTCCTACTTATTTTATCTTCCAGCAGCCTTAGTGTTTCAGTTTTAATATT